CAAGGGCGGATCCAGGGGGAGGGTCGGGGGGGTCGCGATCCCCCCTGTCATTCCTGAGGTCAAATGGGCTTCCTGTGGTAAAAATGCGACTGGGATTCCTTTGCCCACAAAATTTACCCCTGAGACCCCCCCTTCAAAAAAACCCTGGATCCGCCCTTGTTATTGCTTGGATTTTAGCTCTTTACGACCAAGGTTAGTTCTCTAAATGCTTATTGAGTCTCCAAGAAACATTTCCTTGTGAAAATTTGGAAAGTTGAGCGCCACAAAAGTCACAATGAAACGATAAAGGTAGGTTGAAAATGACGAAAATTGCAAATAACTCATTGTTTACTTTGAATAAAAAAATCTTTTACCGTGTTCACAGACTAGAACATTATATTTTTTGCTAGAATTTTGTTATTTAGGTATTACCCTTCAACCTCTAATGCTTGTTTAGCTTATTGGCATCTTTTTGGTGCTAATTTTCGAAGCTTTGATRTGGTTGAATTTAGGACATTTTGAATTTTAGGCCTTATAATTTGACTATCCAAGGACTAAAGATGATTGTACCCGCAGAGATTTTGCACGATTTGGTAACTTCAATGTTTCAGAAAACTTCCCASCAAGCCTCTATATTAGAAATGCAATACTTTTGGCGAACGACCAAAAAACATTTTGACCATTTTATCTTGTTACTAAAACAGTCGATACATCGGTTACTTGAAGGCACGAATATTTCATGTACAAAATAACAAACTAACAATAATTGGTATTTTTCTAAACTAGAAAAGATACTTTATAATTGACGAAAGTTTTAAGGAAATTAAGTTTAAAATGTATGAGAAACACAGCATTGAATTTTACCTTTTAAAATGTCCGATGAGCACACCCGATACTTTTATCCCGGAGTCCCTCTGAGGCCGCCATGCATACCTTTTCTAGAATCATCGTATCCTATTTGCTTGATAGTGTTGCGGACTATCTTCAGATAATCAATATAAGCTTTGGATGTGATTTCACCTAATATTGCAATCATCCCTATCTTAGCAACACTTTCTAAGAAAAGAAATAGAGAACGAGTTACCATAAATATATGCCGGAAAGTCGGGATAAAATAATTGAACAAGTTCTAGCAACGATTTAATTGATTTTTCAACCTGAGAAAAGGCTGTGTGAAAACTTTTTCAGCTTGGCCTCAATGTTTTCCGGTTTTAGATCAAGAGAATAAGATTCTTAGTTTGAGTTTCAGCCACATTCATGCATCTTCTCATGATGCACGACCATTATTAACAAAGAAATGATGCTTTAGGGAATGACATATGGTCATGGTTCAAGCAGCTTCAATGCATTTATAACTTGAATTATGTATTCATTAGTGGAGAGAAAAAATATGGTAAGCCATTGAGAAGATGAAGACATATGAAGCCTTCTTGAAACATTTTCAATGGCTTATTTTTTTCTCTTTGCGAATACAACAAATGCATCATTCTGTTATGCATCATTATGTATGAGTCAATTCCAAAGGTTCCCATCCCCCCCTCCCCTGGGCAATCCCCGGGCAACCCCCCAGGCATTTGACTATTTGAAAAAACATTGGTCAAATTCTCCAGCGTCAAATTACACACTCTACGGAACTTGACTATGGTCAAATGCCCGGGGTATGCCCGGGAGGGACGTCTATAGCTATTCACTATGGACCACCCCATGAAGCACGTTGGAATGCAAGCTCAAAATGGATCAGACAACAATAGGTTTCCGGCGAGAACCGTCATATCGTAAACACTTTGCTGGATTGTGTTACGGTCACCAAAAAATTCGGACATAATTCTTGAATTCCCACACAAATACTGAGTTTAAAGAGAAAATTTAGATAGATTTATTTAATTAGCTCTCTTAACAGCAATAAGAAAAGCTTTAAGCAAGTTAGAAAAATGATATTTTACTTGTATTTAGAGAACTAACTAAACAAACCAAGTAAATAGTTCATTTAAGAAAGTCAGTACATTTGCACGGAAATCCGAGAGCAATGTCCGAACTTCTTGGTGACCGCAATAAAATACCACACAATTTATACCACGTGGCGGCTAGCGCCGTAAAGGTGGTTGTCATGCACCGAGTCAAGTGGGTGAAAACCGAGAATTGTATTGACTTTAGACTCTAATTATTTTGGCACACATGGATATTCATCGTTAACACGTCTCAAGAAAAGCCCGCTGTAATTAGGAAGATTAAGCTTATCACACCTTTTCGAAAGGTTTCAACACCATAGTGTTCCACGTTTTCAAACATTAAAAAAAAGTTCGATCAGTAAGTTAAGACTTAAATGTTCTTGGAGAACATTTCAAGCTCTGAACGTCGAGGGTTCAATTCTCGCATTTATGTAAGTCAAGCTTTGTCTAGATTAAAGATAAATAAATTAATACCACAAGCGGCTTTTTTAACATCAGGATCTTCCTTGAAATGCGCATCCAAAATGGCATCTGTTATATCTGGTCACACATTTTATCTGCAAAATTTTAAACCATGCACTGAAATTATCATATTACAGGTACAATTTTGATAATCATTTAAATAATTTGAATTTACCTGGATGTCCCTCGCCTACAGACTCCGATGTGAAAAGGAAAGTATCGTTAGACGTATCTGATGTATTCATTTTGGTATTTTTAGTAAAAATCTAAGATTGTTTTAGAGATATTTGCTCGAAAACACCAAAAATACACGAGGGTTACACTACCCAGCAGGTCTACCCATGATGCATGTTGATTTCATGTCACATCTGTCACGCAATGTATAAGTGTTGCGTTACTATACATGATAACGAAACGAAGAAGGAAGGAAGGAAGGAAGAAAGAAAGAAAAAAGATATGGTTCTCTACTTTACCCCCTCCGCAAAAATCACTGTTAATATTCATGTGCAAAGGGCGTAAACGCTCTTTATGTAATATATACAATATGAGTGGCCGTGTTGTATCAGATACAGTCAATTCAAAAAATGTTGTCGTCGACCAACTCAAGCCTACGCGACTGGACCGAAAGGAACTCTGGGTAGCAATCATTGAAGCCGAGTTGACTCCATAATTTTATCTGACTAGTTATGCCTGGGTTATGCAAATCAGGACGATTTTGTATCAGATAACAACCTCCTTCACGGACAATGATTTCTATTGTGTTTTCCTCATTAATCATTCATGAGTTTAATAATATTAGTTGGGATATATATCACTATATATTTTTGGAAATTTTATATTTGGTGCCAAAGTCCACGTCTTCAAACTCAAAAGGATTTCTGGCCTGACAGGTCCAAATCAAGACTATAACCAGGACAAGAAATTTGATTCCATTGATTTTTACACGTGCACTGATGACCTGGTATAACCTAGGTATGAAACTGACCAATAAACGACTTACCAATATTATCAAATCAAACAGATTTTATTGAATGAAAAGCAAGAGATTGTAATTATGGAGATGGAAATGTTTAACATTTAGTCTGAGACCTATTTTAGCAAAACCATTCCAATAATCCCTAATTGCAATTAATAACAAAATGGCTATAATTTCCACTTTTGTTACTCTATTTTCTATAATATTTTCTATAAAACAAACTTGTCATCAAATTTCCACAATTATCCTATAATATTTCTATAAAATTTTCTATAATATTTTCTACAAAATAAAACTTGTTTTACTTTACAAAAGCCATTGTAATTCATTTTTGTCCTCTCTCACCCCACTTCTAGAAGAAGGAGGTCCAATTTGTTACTCTGGGTGCAGAGTTATATTAAGAGTGTGTTAAAAAAGTCCCTGTGAATGAGTAAGGGTAGAGGACAGACTTGAAGGGGGAGGGGGTGGGGGGAGTGACAAAAATATACTACGAAGGCCTAGTACTGATAATCTCTAAGCCCTATGTTTCGAACAAGTCATACTTCTTGACATTAGGATCATGCCATTCTGGTTTTTATTCGTAATTGAGTGGTTTAGGGACCTCCCATGGGAATCCTGGCTTAAAGTGGCCATAAACACAGCTGCCCTGGTAGATGGGCTTCTTAAGATCAAGATCTCTGCAAAATATCCAATGAAACATGTTTGAGTATAAAATTGTGCTTATTGATGTAAAGTACAACCGAATGAAGTTGAGTAGTGGAGTAAGGTTGTGAAGAGTAAGGTGTTGTGGGGAGTAAGGCTGTGTGGAGTAGGGTTGTGTGGAGTAAGGTGGAGTGAAGTGAGGAACAGCGGAGTGAGGAAAAGTGGGAGTGAGGTAGAGTTTACTAAGGTTGTGTGGAGTTGAGTAACATACAGTTATTCAGTAAGCTGCAGGTTGTCTGGAGTAAGATTGTGCAAAGTGGAGTAATGTAGAGTGAAGTATTAGGTATTGTGGAGTAAGGTTACAAAATTAATTTTTACTTCACAATAATTTTTTCACTTTTGAAAGATTGAAAGAATATGAAAAATAAAACATAGACACTTACTTTATGATCACACCAGGTCTCAGATCAAAGTTACGTTTAATGATCTCTAATAATTCCTTTTCTGTTCGACAACCAGTACCGCCATAGGTAAATACGGAGATTGACAATGGTTCAGCTACACCAATGGCATAAGAGACCTGTACAAGCACACGATGGCAAAGCTTAGCCGCTACTAAAGACTTGGCTATCCAACGTGCGGCATATCCTGCTGAACGATCAACCTAAAAACATTTTAAAAAAGTGATATTTTGATTAATTCATTCAGTACAAACCAAACACCTGTTTTATCAAACTCTAAAACGACCTCTTAGCAGATCTATATAAGTAAGGGTAAGACTACCTCACAGATCAAACCTTGAAGTAACCTCTAGGCTAATCAAATTCAGGATGACACGGCTAA